TGTAATACCGTATTGACCCGAATATAAGACGATGTTTTTTTCTTGGAAATACATCTGAAAAAACGCGTCGTCTTATATTCAGGGTCTAGACTTTGACATGTCAATAATACACCCACAACAATAGGTGGCGCCAAATACGCATAAAACGAGTGTGCCATGAAATACGTAATGTAATGCGTGTTGTAAAAGATCGCGAGTAAAAACAAAAGAAAAAAAAAGCTTACAGCTGCATGAGTCGTGACGGTCACGTTAGCCTGATTGATCCAAACTCCCTTTGTGATTTTAAAACGCAAGACAGTACCCAGATTCGAAGACTACAGTAAGATTTAACTTCTACTGTTAATACGATTTTGGTAGGCTACTATTAGATGGATAGCCTAAATGTCCTAATTCAGATGGGCTACCGTTTTTTTTTTAGTTTTTTAATGGTATATCAAAAAGTGTATATTTTTTTAAAATGTGATTGTTGGTACATTTGACCAGTTTTTACCATACTTTCAAAACAAAAATTAAAATAGGAAAAATATGCAATATGGAAATAATTGAAGACAAAATGTGTTTTACTGAGAAAAAACAAGATTTGGTTTTTAAAAAGCCTTTTTCCAAAAGGTACATCTGGAAAAAGGGGGGTCGTCTTATAATCAGGGTCGTCTTATATTCGGGCCAATACGGTATGTATTGTATTTATTTCCATAAACACAAACTGCCGGCCCAGTTATTGTGTTAATCTTTCCAAAGGCTTTTTTCTTTTTTTTTATTACACATTGTGTGTTAAAATCCTACACAACATGTGTCAGAATGCTGTCAACACAACCATGTGTGTTGTTTTTTGAACAAAAAAACTGTTTTTGCAGTGTAGCTTAAACAAAACAATTATTTTTAATTACTTTTAAATTACTATTTACTTGTAAACCTTTAACAATGAAAGCCATTCATCTTTGTGCCTTTATTATGCAACTCTTATCTAACAAAAATATTTATTTTGAATAAAGCAAGTCATGAAATGTGAATCATCAACTTTATATTTGTTGCTGTACATGATTCTTTTACTTCTCATCCTAAAAATGCTTGCTTTATCAAACTGCCGTTTTAAACCAACATTTTGTTTCCAGATAGAATGATTGAAAAACATCTGTGCCATTTACTTCTGGAAACATTAACTTTTAAAGGAACAAAGTTTGAAAACCATCAGTGGGACAGTCATCTGTAAATGCTTTAATTATGTTCATATACATATACCGTGCCCTCCACTAATATCGACACCTTTGGTAAATATGAGCAAACGTAGCTGTGAAAATTAATCTGCATTGTTTATCCTTTTGATCTTTCATTCAAAACATTCACACAGTTCTAACTTATCATTGAAGTAAAACAATTGAAAGTGAGGGGAAAATCTCATTGTGAAATAAATGCTTTCTCTAGTTCATGTTGGCCACAATTTTTGGCACCCAATTAGTGCACCATCCTTTTCCCAAGATAAAGAGGGCAAGAGGACAAGAGATCAGAGACCATTCCTTCATACAGAATCTCTCCAGATCCTTAAGATTCAAAGCTTCTTCTCTTCAGTTCACTCATTTTCTATAGGGTTCAGCTCAGGGAACTGCGTTGGCCAGGGCAGAAGCTTCATTTTGTTTGTTTTAGATTATTGTCCTAATGGAAGATCCAACCACGGTCCATTATAAGATTTCTTACAGAGGCAGTCAGGTTTAGATTTTTAATCTGTTGGTATTTGATAGAATCCATGATGCCATGCATCTGAACAAGATGTCCAGGACCTCCGGCAGAAAAATAGGCTCACAACATTAAAGATCCAGCAGTATATTTAACTGTGGGCATGGGTTACATCTGATCCCTGTTTGCACTTTTGCAAAAGCAAAAGCTCTTTTTTTTATGTTTCATCTGGCCATAGAAGATGCCCTATAAAGGCATCTTTATTCCTTTATTCCCCCAATAAAGCTGGGGGAAGTCATGGCCTAATGGTTAGACAGTTGGACTCGTAGCCCAAAGGTTGCGAGTTCGAGTCTCCGGTCCGGCAGGGATTGTAGGTGAGGGGAGTGAATAACCAGCGCTCTGTGCATGACAGCACTACAAAAACCCAACAAAGTGAAATAATATTGCCTTATAAACTGGTCAGTTCCTACGTCTCAGAATGACCTGATGGCAGCTTGGATCTCCAAGGACCTCTCTACAGCTGAGTTTGTTCATTCATCATGACCCTCACGAAAAGTCATTGTGTCCCCCATACGATGGACTGTTTTGTGTTCTGGAGGAGAAACATTGCTGGTCGATATTGGGGGCCATCCTGAACAAGTTATTGTTGATCGACTTAAATCAGCTCATGGGGACCTGGATCAGCCGATGGTTCCGGCGGTGGCTCCTAGGAGAGGACATCCAGCTACCAACAAGGAGGAGGACTCCAGGGAGGAGACTGACCACCAAAGAGGATTCCTAGTATGGGTCACCATACTTGGCCACGTCACATCACTTTTTTAAGAAGCCAGTCCCATTTGAAGCTCCAGTCGTGTCTGACAACTGAATATGCTAGTTTTTTTGGGATGAGGCAGGAGTTGTTTTTTTTTTTTGTACCCATTTGAACAACATGTGGTGATGTAGGGGCTGTTTGATATATATGTATTTTTTAGGCTTTCTGACCCCAAGATTCAACTACTCTCTGCGATTCTCCAGCTGTGATACTTGGAGAGTCTTTGGCCGCTCAAACTCTCCTCCTCACCGTTGCATCTTTAGTTGATTGGAACCTCTTCATTATTGCCCTGATGGTGGAAATGGAGATTTTCAATGCTTTAGCTAGTTTCTTACAACCACTTTCTATTTTGTGAAGCTCAACAATCTTGTTCTGCATATCAGAACTATATTCTTTGGTTTTACTCCTTTTGATGGTTGATTAAGGTAATTTGGCCTTTGTGTTCCTCATGTTTATAATCCTGTGGAACAGGAAGTCACGGCTGGAGAATTTCATGTTCACAATCACCCTGGTGTGCTAAAAACATAGTAAATATGAGTAGGAATATACTTCAGATATTTTACTCATAAGAATTTCTAGGGGTACCAATAATGGTAGCCAACATGCATGGGAAAAAAAAACATTTATTTCATAATGCGAGTTTCCCCCCACTTTCAATTATTTTACTTCAATGAAAGTTTAGAATTTTCTGAATTTTCTGAATGAAAGATCAAAGAGATAAATGATGCAGATTTATTTTCACAGCCGCCTTTGCTCATATTTACCAAAGGTGCCAATATTAGCACTGTGTTGTTAGAAAATAAACCAAGAACAAACCCTGAATGACAGATCAGTAAAACAGAGGAAATGTTCAGCACCAACCACAGTACAGAGTTCAAATAATTATTATATATTTTCATATAAACGCAACAGAATTTAAATGGCATCCAATGCATCACCAAGCACATTAGTGTGAATCACGTGATCCACTACAAAAACTGCAGCTGTCTCTTCCGAAGTAGGCGGTTCTAAAGGTCTGGCTAAGAAACGAAGCTTTTCAAGGCTCTGAATCAAATGAACCAATTACTCCGTAAAATGATTCTCCGAGTCCAAGCGCTCGAAACGCCATAGGCTGGCTGCATCTGCTGGCCAAACGGTGTAAATGCAAACGAAAACGCAGGCCAAACATGCATGTCACACACCTTTTACAAATTAACTGCAAATGTTTTCATTAAAAGTGTGCGGTGAACAAATAATGAAATACCGTTAAATGTGAAGGTTCTGTAAAATCTGTTTTATTGATTTGTGTGTTATTAGGCAACGCTTTGGTCAATTAGAAACAATTTAAAGGCAGGGTAGGTGATTCGCTTCAAAAGCATTTTTCATTATGTGCAGACATGATACGTCTTCAGTGGGTTACACTACGCTATTGCAGAGCGAGCGAGAATGGAAGGCGTTATTATTGTAATATTCAATGCATTGTTATATGCGCTTTATACTGTCGCTGGTTAGCCTCTTGAAGGTGTGGCTTTGGAGAGTGATTATGCAGGGAGGGTGGGATATTATGCTTTCAAAGCTAGCTCACCTACCCTGCCTTAAAAGTATAATTCTCCTTTATTGCATTATCATGTTATCATCATTGCATGATGCCAACCCTGAAACAACATAAAATATCAAATTTTGCTACAAGTTTGATTGCAACATATAATCATTGCTGTTAATAGTGTTCATCGTCTGTTTGATTACGTCATTATCTGAATTTTACCGTGCACTTCTGCCATATGTACATAGTCACCACTTACAAGCTACTACTAAATATATTGTAGAAACCTAATTTTCTGTAAAGCTGCTTTGCAACGATTTGTATCGTGAAAAGCGCTATACAAATAAACTTTAATTGAATTGCATTATACACGCATAAAGTATTACAATTGATTAAATTCACTAGAAATTAACCTACATCATAAAACTGACCCAAAGCCAACTATTAGAAACTCCTTCATTGGTTCACGAGATCACCATCTAGCAGCAAATTTTGTAATGTTTCGAAACAAAAACAAAAAAACAGTATGACATAACGAAGCCTCGTTTGCTGAAGCCACGTGACTTGGTGAGTTTGATTCAAGCTTCACGAATCAGTGTTTTGCTGATAACAGATTTATATACTCTCGCTACAAACATGTAGCATGTCGGACTACATATATATTTAAACCACAGCTTTTGCGATTTGATAACTGTACTACTTACTAAGTTCTCACAACCATGCATAATTAAAATACTTTTTTTTTTTTTACACATTTTCAAATATTTACCAACATGGGTTTATACTGTCTTTTGGCTAGTGTTAATCTTAAACCTTGGTTGAGATACTAAGGGTATCCCGCACATAGCCGCTAGATGGCGCCGCTAGCTCGTGCAGTGCTGTCTGAAGCAGTTTATGCATTAATAAATGCATTTGAAAACCCAGCATTGTGCAGTTTTAGTAACTGCATCCCTGGAAAATGAACATATTTTAAGATGTGTTCCATGAGTTTGTCTTTGTAAAAACGATTAAATGTTGTTCGATCAGTCATTGTTCGGTTTCCAGCATTGAACAGTGTTCAAACTCCCCACAGCCAATCAGATGTGAAGATCTTCATTTACGGGCGGAGTCGTAATTGGCCACAAACCAATCACACGTCTCCTTGACGGCTGGGAAAAAAAAGCAAAGCTTCCATAAAGATTCTTTTTTTTTATACTACTATTGGAAAAACATTTAGTAATTGCATGTGTGTGTGTGAATGATCACCAGCTCTGAACGGCGTGAACTTGAAGTCTGGCAGGTATTTGCGTAGTTTGGCATTATTGGCGGTTTTCTTGAACTGACCGTCTGCTTTACTAGTGTCATACTGAGAGGGCTTAGTTAAGGTTCATCTGTTTAGAGAGTTTGTTCACCCCAAAAGGAAAATTCTGTCATTCAAGGTCTCCTGCTATGATGCTTATTGTGGTTTTTTATTTGTTTATGCGTGAAAGGATACGATCACTTCACCTTCAAAGCCCAACGCTTCAACCACAGCATCCGCAGCAAACTTTATGGACAATTCATCCTCCTCTCCCACTAGAGAGAAACAAACAAAGACAAAGAGAAACAGATAAGATATCTCGGATTCTCAGGAACACACATTTAAGTAAATATGCATATGTATTGAAATTGGTTTATATCAAAAATTCTACTGATATGACAATAATGTGTTTAAAGAAATTCAATAAACATTACTGTGCCAATACTAGTAATATCTATATACTTATGTGTTAAATAATGTTCTTAGTCTTTGCTTACACAAGTTTAAATGCTAGATACGGTTGATTGTCTAACCTAGGCTAAATACTAATAGTATCCAGAAGAAAGATTGTATGCATAATGCAGGACTTTTAATTATTAAAAAAGACTGTAATACACCGGGACTTTTATTTTGAAATGTATGTGCTTATGACATCCAGCTATTCATTTAAAAAGATGAAGGAATTAAAACAAGCACTCTTACCGTCATCCACAACATATTACAATATAAACAGCATAATTTAAACAGTCATTATTCATCAACAGTAAATCATAAGCAATCGCTTGGCATAAATGCACGACATTCAGCCTGACATTCAATTTGAACGTGCTGACATTTGTTCAATTAACTCAGTGACTTTTGAAATGTAATAATCTACCACAGAATTCGTTTCCACGACGGAATAACATAAATAAAAATAATTAGACTTTTTTCTTAGAATTCCAAGTTTACATCTTGCAACTTAATTTTTTTCTCTCAGAATTCTGAGCTTACATTTCGCAATTTTGAGGGTTTTTTTTCTCAGAATTCTGAGTTTTTCTTGTGGCAGTTTTCTATTTCAGTGAAGGTATGAGACAAGTCTTTTGAAGAGTTATTTTCTCGCTAGAAAATGTCTACAGTCATAACAGTCATTCAAGCTGCAGGGTGTGACAAATGAAAGAACACTTTAACTCAGTATTTATACCCTAATAAAACCAGGATGCTTCTATCTCATCCAATCATAATGCATATTCCACATATGTGTCCATTTAAGGTACAGTATCTAACTATGTCTCTTGGATGCATTTCCTAAGTATTTAATGCAACTCATTTTCTTAGAAATGAGCACTTCTCGTTTCACTACACTCACTCTCTCTCACACACACACACACACACACAGACACACACAGACACACACACCCCCTGTTGGTCTTTTAGCACATCAAAATAACTCAAGCATACCGATGAAGCAATCAGACTGTCTAAACAACACTCTTTTGTAAAGTAAAGCAAACAATACCAAAAATAATAAAATTTCCCTCACAGTTTACATCTCACAATCTCACATTTTTCATCAGTTTACATCTCACAATTTAGACTTTTTTTCCTCAAAGTTCAGAATATACATATTGCAATTGTTTTTTTTTTCTTATGAAATAAAATATAAAGGTAGTTGCGACTTTTTAACTCATAATTCTTTTTCATCGCAATTGCGACTTTATATCTCAATTCTTTTCTTCAAGACTTTTGAGAAGTTTTTTAGCAATTTTGAGGGGGGGGCGCGATAGGAAAATGTCAGAAAAGTGAGATAAAGGCCCGGTTTTATAGACAGGTCTTAGCCTAAACTAGGATTAGGCCATAGTTAAATTAGGACATTTAAGTAATTTTTATAAACGTGCCTTAGAAAAAAACATTACTGGTGTGCATCTCGAGACAAAACAAAGGCACTGATATATTTAAGATCATTCAGTGCAAGTTTCTTTCATTTGAAACAGCTCAGATTTACATTTTAGTCTAGGACTAGGCTTAAGCTTTGTCTGTGAAACAGTGGGAAAATGTTTTTTTCATTCCTTGGCAGAAACAAGCTTTCATAATCACATTAGGCCATAACGATTCCTGTTCCCTAATTTAAGATCTTTAAAAATGATATTTAAGAGTTAGCCATGTCATTTAAGATATTCAAGACTCTTCATGACCTTAAATCAAACTGAATATTTCAGGACCTGTAGGAACACGGTGTCAAACACAGCTGGAGTACCTGACAGAATGATGGGCTCCACCTCGTCGTACTCCCTCAGAACCCACAGAAACAGACGAGCCAGATCCAGAGAATAGATGAACTGCCGCAGAGCGCGACCCGAACCCCAGACCTGCAGAGGTTTACCTTCCTCTACAACACAAACACACAACATTTACCCTGTGAACAGAACTTAAATGAGCCTCTAGATCCTCCCAGAAAGTTAAATGTCTCTCACTCTTCGCCAGGTACGTCTTGTGGATCAATCCTGGCAGGACATGTCCGTCCTCAATGTTGTAGTTGTCATGGGGTCCGAATACATTTGTGGGGATGACGGCTGTGTATCGCTGACCGTACTGCTGAAAATACGTCCTAATGGACACACACACGCGTGCGCACACACACACACACACACACACACACACACACACACACACACACACAGAGACAGAGAGACTGGTTTTTAAACTTATGAAACATAAACAAACATTTCCCCTATAATTGAATAATAATAAATATATTGTTTTCATGACAATTCATCACAAAATCTCATTACTATAGTAAAACACATTTTATAAAACAGAGAGTTCCGGTCCTTGATTCTGATTGGCTGAGCCGCGTTCGAAGCTGTTGTAAATGACTCTACAAAGTAACATACACCTTTGTTTACGTTTGTGTGTTACTCGGCAACCACTTTGTTGCAACCACAGCTGTTTCTGAGGAGCTACATTGTTTGGTGGAAGAATACTGTTTTTATTTATATCATTAAATAATCATTATATCATTTAATAATTTATATCATTTATTTGCTCTGCTTTAGTTTGTGAAACCTTGCTACGTATATGGAATGACCGTTTTATAAAAGCAATAAGCCCCGTGAAGCCGTGGTTTACAGTGAATTTACAACAGCTAAGGGGCGTTGTTCAATTAATTATATACATTAAAAATGAAACATTTAAATTGCAAAATATTATTTATAATCGTGTTTATTATGTTGCATTTGGTTTATTATGATTTAAATATAACAATTATTTCAGTATTTTCTCTGTGTCAAGGCAATGAGAATTTATTGGGGTCAGAATGTTCTTGATATTTACACACGACAGGTTCCTCTGCAATAAAATCATACTGCAAGTTTTATAGCTTACTACAGCTAACTCCCAATTTTACAATACGAATTGTTTTCTACCCTTCTGCAATGCCAGCATTTGAAACCAGGAGAATGGTAGAGTCTGTCCATCAACCACAAGAGCAATACTACTGTTAAATTAAAAAAAAGACCTTTCTGGGTGCAAATAAACTTTGCAAACTTTATAAACTAACCTTGAGAAACATAAAAATATAAACTGCATTTTATGAGTATCATTCCCTGTGATTGGTGTAATATGTAAGGGCTCGTGTACAGATGTAGCAGCACGAGTCTACCAGAAATATGATTTCTGCATTTTAGCCAAAAAAAAAGGAAGGAAGGAAGGATGTGACGTGTGGCCAAATATGGTGTCCCGTACTTGTGCTCTGCATTTAACCCATCCAAGTGCAAAGTGCAAAGCTTCCGTAATAAAGTCAAAGCTGTCACTGCTCAACGAGTCTCTTATTTACATTGCTTTCACCGTGTTAGTTATGATGCAAATATGAGACTGCAAAAATCGAGTTGCAATAAGGAGATAATGCACTGTGTGCTCCGTAGACATGACTGTGTTCGGCTCCAGTGCAGCGCTTCAACCTTTGATGCAATGAGAGTAGTTCTGAATATAATCATATAATCAACACTTTTCACCATTAGTTCATCTTGGCAGCTGTTATAGTAAAAACGCAGTAAATGCTTTGACGAGTTCCACAAGTAATGCTCATTTCATATGCAGAGATGTAAGCCAATCACAGCAGTGGGCGTTACAGTAAGTCTCACAGTAGACACGCCCTTCCAACTGAGCGTTCAAATCAGAAGCCAAATTCAGAGAAAATGAACATTTATATCTATATTATGACCGTTTTTGATGGAAAAAAAAAAACATTATTATTAAGTGCATTTATAAGCGCATCTCAGGAAACGTAAAATAATTAAAAAAATGCATTTCATAACACCTTTAATGAAATTCACCATTGAGAACAATAAGATTCACATAAATAAATAAATAAATAAATGGCCTGGATGTACTGCGGTAATTAAAATATTAATTGAAAATGTGTTTAAATCCCACAATTAGCTGATGATAAAAATCGTATCTCTTTTGAAATGTGAGCCAGATATGCTTTAACGGGATACACCCGAAAAAGCTCATGACCTATGAACTCTGACCTGTTCTGGACGTCAATCATGCGTTTGGCGTAAGCATAACCGAAATTGGACTCATGAGGCGGACCGTTGTGGATCTGAAACAGAGTGAGAGGGAAACACAGCTCATCATCTCTCTCGAATCATAAAACAATTGAAACTACTGGTTTCTAATGGTTCTGCAAAAAGAGTTTGTGTTTTGAAAGTTACAGTAACTTTTCACAAGAGAATGAATCATAAATGTGACCCTGGAGCACAAAACCAGTCATAAGGGTCAATTTTTTTAAATTGAGATTTATACATCATCTGAAAGACGAATAAACGAGCTTTCCATTGATGTATGGTTTGTTAGGATTGGACAATATTTAGCTGAGATACAACTATTTGAAAATCTGGAATCTGAGGGTGCAAAAAAATCTAAATATTGAGAAAATCATCTTTAAAGTTGTTCAAATGAAGTTCTTAGCAATGCATATTACTAATCAAAAATTAAGTTTTGATATATTTACGGTAGGAAATTTACAAAATATCTTCATGGAGCATGATATTTACTTAATATCCTAATGATTTTTGGCATAAAAGAAAAATCGATAATTTTGACCCATACTTTTGGCTATTGCTACAAATATACCCCAGCGACTTAAGACTGGTTTTGTGCTCCAGAGTCACAAATGATCAAGGAAAATTTGCCCTTTAAAAGAACGCTACACACAAACCATCTGCTTATTAAAGTGTGTGTGTGTGTGTGTGTGTGTGTGTATTCACCATGGTCTCATCTATAGGGTAGGTGGTTTTATCTGGAAAGATACATGTGGAAAGGCAAGAAACGACCTTCACCACGCCGAACTCGTGAGCTGCCTGCAGCACGTTGTCATTGATGTGCACATTATTCCTCTGAAAACAAACAAATATGGTTCATACACAGTTTAATTACTCAACACTAATATATGTCCAACATTTGTATATTTCCATTGTTTTTTAAATGTTAATAATTACCCAGAAGTCCAGGTTCTGTCTCATGTTTCTGAAGAGTCCTCCCACCATGGCGGCCAAATGAATAACGTGTGTCGGACGATGTTTCTGGAAGACTGCTCTCGTCTCTTCAGCGCTCCTAAAGCAGCACGTGTAATGCATATGACACAAATGGGCGACAGGCAATAAAATAAAAGATTTCTGTAATGTATATATGTATATAATGGATATGTATTCATATCTATGCTACTGTATAAGATGCATTCTGTCAGCGCGAGGGAAACTAATTTCATTATTTTTGCAACTTACTGTGCCTTAACAATTAAATACACACATACATATCCACATAAACGCAGTCAGTTATGTATTGAGTGAAAGGAAAGAAGTCTAATATATTATATACGTGCATGACTTCTTAAAGTGACAGTAGCCTAATATATCGGCTCCTGTCTGAGTCGTTTAAGTTAATAACAACCAAAGAAAATAGCTGACTGCTTTTGATTGAATATCTTTAATAAGAATCAGTGTACATATATTTCATACAGAAAAGACTATGCAATTGATTTATGTATGTAATATTTCCTGCTTGAATGCTACTGTTACGGCCCGTTCATACCTAGAAGGATAACTATGAAGTTTCAAGTTCTATGTAAATGACACATGGCAATGATATTGGTGGAATCACTTTGAGAAGATTTTTTTTCCATCTGATGAACAATAAAAACACTGACAGCAAAATCCATCCTGCTTTAACCCTTAAAGTCCCCATGAAATCAAAATTGATTTTTTTTTTGGCTTTTAGTATGAATATGTTAGCCTTAATATTATCTATAAGCTAGTGTGCTCCAAAACAATGACAAAATTCGTATTTACAAGATATAAGGATTCAAAACTTGCAGTCTCTCACTTTCGCCAATATGTAAATATGATTTTGATGACATCACCCTGCACTTCAGCTTCTCATCAAACTTTCTGTCCAATCAAATCCTCTCAAGAATCTGAAGCGTCCCGCCCCCTACACTATAAATAGACGCTGAAGCTGCGGCTGAATTCAGTCACTTGCTCACAGAATTAGAATTTTCTGTATGTTGACTATATAGTGGATAGGGAACGATTCAGACGAAATATGGTTTTTATTGTTACTTTGTAATTGAAATTAAAATATCAGGATGGTTTTTTACTATAGGGGCTGTTTAGAGATCCATCCATGTTAGATATACATTCTGGGTTGCTAAAGTCCCAAATATGTAATAATGATCGCCATTTAAGGGTTAAAGGTCTTGTGCATTTAAAGTGGCAGACGACAAAACTACAGTGAACTACGCTTCTCATAAACAGGGGTTATCATTCTTTGTGTCAACAGAACATTATTGTTATTACTTACATAACATGCACTAATAAAATGTAAAGTACATGCTTTATGATATGTGATAATAGTTTAATGATTCTGTTGTATAACTGTGTGACGTCTGATGAGTGTTTGACCAGGAGCTCTTACATAAGATTGGCATCTTTGGATGACAGGAATATCCATGTTTCTCCTTCTCTCCCTCCGCTCTCCTCTTTCACCACCCGCTCTATCGCTCGCCCCACCAGCCCACTGCCGCCTGTCACCAACACACGCATCGGCCCGACTGACCCGTTCATCTGACAGACAGAGAGAGAGATGGGGTTTGATGAACACTTCAGGGGTCAACAACATACATGTAAAAACAAGAACTGTAGTAAATAATCAAGTATTTATCTGTCTATTGTGATTTTTTCTAATTGCACAGCAATATTTTTGAAAGGCTTTGTATATGTGATCTGAGAACCAGCTACCAGTACCAGCTCTTCTTTCTCTTCCTCCCTACATCTCACAATGAACTACATACAAGTGAAACTGGTAACAACCAGTTTAACCACGGACACGTCCTGTCAACATAGGAACACTTCACTTATGAGGTGCCAACTTGTGCATTACGACCAAAAAACACAACAAATATGCAGACAAACACATACTGGATTCATACACTGTCATCTTCATCGGTCAAAGCATGAGAAAAGTCAGACAAGGCCATCATGCATGAACAAAATCATAGTGCAGACTTACAGTAACACTCAATGAATGAACTTTATGAACTATTTTTGAGCTCAAATTAAGATTAAAAGATGGTTTTAAACAGTGTTTGAATCGAGAAAATGGTCACATCAGATCTTGTATTAGTTCGGTTAAAATGTTTAAGAAACTGACAAAACCTTTACCTCCTCTAAGTGCAGTCAGGTGTTTCCTTGTTTTCGCTCTCGAGTTCTGTAAAAAAGGGAAAAACAGCAGTACTAAATCGAGGCCCTCCGCTTACTGCCTTGTGAGAAAGGCATATGAGAAATGCTGACGTCAAGATTAAATTTGTATATATGGAACAACGCAAGACGTCTTCCATAACATTTTATAGGTTGTCATAAGAAGGGGTTGGAAAGCACTAGATGCAGGGCTGTATTTACGCGTATAGGCATTCTAGGCACGTGCCTATGCTTGCTCGTCCAGGGGGGGCCCAAACACAATAAAGAGATATATAATATTTTTATTATACTATGCACTCTAAAAAATGCTGGGTTAAATATAACCCAGCGCTGGGTAAAAAAGGGACAAACCCAGCTATTGGGTTGTTTTGACCCAGCGGTTGGGTTGTTTTGCTTGGGTGGTAGCCTATATTAGGCCTATTATATTAATAGGGAAGGGGGGCCCAAAAATTTGTTTTGCCTATGTCACGAAAAGAGGCAAATCCGGCCCTGAGATGCAAAATGCTCAACTCGTATCTTGCAAGCACTCGAGAGAGAGATGCATCCATCCTCTGGTAACATTTTTATCAGTTAACTGTGTTTACACAAGAATTTGTGGTTTCAGTTCAGCTTAGCATAGATGGTTTTGCAATTTTAGGTCTTCTAAGCAGAAAAAATGAAAGTTCTTTACTGGCAAGTTTAGTTGATGATTAAAGTTTATGATCCAGCCTGTTTTTATTTTATATTTTATTTTAAACGTTTTATAACAACATATAGAACAAAATATATAATCAGTATAATACAAAAAAAATTTGGATTAATTAAATTCAAGTTTATTTGTATAGCGCTTTTCGCGATGCAAATCGTTGCAAAGCAGCTTTACAGAAAATGTAAGATTCTACATTATATTTAGTAATAGCTCATCAGTGGTGACTATCTCAAGTTGATGTCCATTATAGCAAAATTTGGTAGTTTTGTATGTTGTCTGAGGGTTGCATCATCTGAGATCCTCTGAGGGGTTGGCATCATCTCTTATCAGGTGTTCAGTCATCTCAGGTCTTTGTAAGGGCTGGATCTAGACTGAAGCTTGTGTAATTCCTAGTTACCACGGGATGCTAATCAGAAACAGAGAAGGTAATAGAGAAAAATTAGAGTAGCTGCTGTTCCAACTAAGCAAAAAATGATGTGTTCAACCCAAGCAAAATAATGAAAATGTGCATTTGATCAGATGTAACTGAAGTACAAGATTATGAGATGCATTATGTGAATGCTTGGCTAAAAAGATGTGTCTTTAATCTAGATTTAAACAGAGAGAGTGTGTCTGAACCCCGAACGTTATCAGGAAGGCTATTCCAGAGTTTGGGAGCCAAATGCGAAAAAGCTCTACCTCCTTTAGTGGACTTTGCTATCCTAGGGCAATGATATTGGTGGAATCACTTTGAGAAGATTTTTTTTCCATCTGATGAACAATAAAAACACTGACAGCAAAATCCATCCTGCTTTAACCCTTAAAGTCCCCATGAAATCAAAATTGATTTTTTTTTTGGCTTTTAGTATGAATATGTTAGCCTTAATATTATCTATAAGCTAGTGTGCTCCAAAACAATGACAAAATTCGTATTTACAAGATATAAGGATTCAAAACTTGCAGTCTCTCACTTTCGCCAATATGTAAATATGATTTTGATGACATCACCCTGCACTTCAGCTTCTCATCAAACTTTCTGTCCAATCAAATCCTCTCAAGAATCTGAAGCGTCCCGCCCCCTACACTATAAATAGACGCTGAAGCTGCGGCTGAATTCAGTCACTTGCTCACAGAATTAGAATTTTCTGTATGTTGACTATATAGTGGATAGGGAACGATTCAGACGAAATATGGTTTTTATTGTTACTTTGTAATTGAAATTAAAATATCAGGATGGTTTTTTACTATAGGGGCTGTTTAGAGATCCATCCATGTTAGATATACATTCTGGGTTGCTAAAGGCCCAAATATGTAATAATGATCGCCATTTAAGGGTTAAAGGCATTTAAAGTGGCAGACGACAAAACTATAGTGAACTACGCTTCTCATAAACAGGAGTTATCATTCTTTGTGTCAACAGAACATTATTGTTATTACTTACATAACATGCACTAATAAAATGTAAAGTACATGCTTTATGATATGTGATAATAGTTTAATGATTCTGTTGTATAACTGTGTGACGTCTGATGAGTGTTTGACCAGGAGCTCTTACATAAGATTGGCATCTTTGGATGACAGGAATATCCATGTTTCTCCTTCTCTCCCTCCGCTCTCCTCTTTCACCACCCGCTCTATCGCTCGCCCCACCAGCCCACTGCCGCCTGTCACCAACACACGCATCGGCCCGACTGACCCGTTCATCTGACAGACAGAGAGAGAGAGAGAAAAGGTGTGATGAGCAGTGTTGGGGATAACGCATTACAAGTAACGCGAGTAATGTAATCAGATTACTTTTTTAAGTAACTAGTAATGCATTACTTTTTAATTTAGAAGGAAATATCGGAGTTTAATATCTGACTTTTTTCAAATAAGTAACTCCAGTTACTTTATTTACCATGTATTGACTGACAGCTCTTGTGTTGCCATGTTGAGAGAAATCAGGAGTGAGTGCAGAGCTTGTGTGTGCGCTGTGTGAACATGATGTTACTATAGATCTAGACTAAATGTGAAAATGCATTTACTCATCTCACTTGCACAAAAAAAAGATTCAGTATTTCTTACTGTAGTTCTAGACTAAATGTCAACATGCATTTACTCTTCTCACCCGCACACAAACACATTCAGTATTCCTCAAAATCAATAAAAACAGTGAAATGCAAACTTAGAATATTATACAATTCTGCAATAATTAAATGTTAAAGGGGTCCAATTATGCTCTTTTACAAAGTCTTGATGTTGTTTTGGGGTGTACTAGAACAGGCTCTCATACTAGGTTGTTCGAAAAACACATTATTTTTCACATATTTTACATTATTACAACACCTCTCTCCTCAGTCTGGCATGAACGGCTCGAATAGTTCCTGTATCTAATGAAGGCCCGCCTTCTGAAATACGAAATGTGCTGTGATTGGTTCGCTGGGCCAGTGTGTGCTGTGATTGGTTCGCTGGGCCAGTGTGTGCTGTGATTGGTTTAACCAATGTCTTTACTACCGACCTTCGATGATCCAATTTAACCATACTAATAAGTAAAAATTACACATTTGTGTTTCATTTTTGTTATTGCTGAATACTGTTGAACTTTCTTCTGCGTCATATTCTTCATGCAATTTGCTTGAGCAGCACCCTCTACTGTACAGATGTGAATTTACATTTCCCTCAGCCTGATGTGTGTTCATTTCACTTTTGGTGCGCAAGGGCTTTTACAATTTTAAAAGAAGAGCTTATATATATATATATATATATATAAACACGCAAGCCCTGCCCAGATTTAAAAAGTAACTCAAAAGTAACGTAACTCATTACTTTCCATAAAAAGTGACAGTAACGTAATTAGTTACTTTTTAGGGAGTAATGCAATATTGTAGTGCATTACTTTTAGAAGTAACTTTCCCCAACACTGCTGATGAGCATTTCAGGGGTTAACACATGTGCATTTGTAAATCTATCTATGCAACCATTCATCCATCTATACACTCGTACAGCGGTGATACCATATTCACACACTATTAATGTAGCGTCCTAAAAAACATGCTGTTGTTAACACAGTTCTCCATGATATGTTTAATGGCAATAGAGCGGCTGTTCTTTGTTACTGTACTCCCTTTTTAAAACAGTGTCATGGTATTGTCATCTGATAAGTCAGATTTCCATTGATGTTCCATAGCAGCACAACAGTAATTTTCTAGGGGTATATATGATTTCCGTTCCTCCCTACAGCTCACAATGCACCGCATACAGCTGCATCTGTCCGAGGATATCAAGTTAAACACCGACACACCCTTGATTTCAATATGACAACACATCAGTTTGAGGTGTCAGCTTATGCAGTGGAGCATGACCACAAAACACATATACAAACAGATACTGGATTTACATACACCGACATGCTTTGGAATCATTTGTCATTTTTATCAATGCGTGATAACGCCATAAAACATGAAAAGAAAAAAAAATACAGCACAGACTTAATACTCAATTAATGAACTTTGTGTGTGAACTCAAATTGTGATGAACAGTCCTTGAAGTGTCTGAAACGAGCACACGGTTAAAAGCATGAACGGGCGTGCATGAATTGAGTTCACAATTGATGAAATCAATGATTTACCTGCTCTCTGGTGTCACTGTAGTTAAAGTCCGTTTCTTGTAAACTCGGTTCACTCGGTGGCCATATTTTCATCGCCTCCGGGCAGCTGTTTTGCTCATGCAAAATCAACTCCTATCTGCTTGAATGGGGAAATACCGAAATGCCAAGAACTGTTTGCGAAGCTCATTTAAATAACATTTCTAATCAGCAATACAATCCGACGTATGCTGTCCCAAATGCTGTTTCCTACGAATAGCGGTATAGGCGTAAGCTTCCGGTTGGTCCGGTCAGCGCGCATGCGTACCGCAAATCCTCAAAACTGGCTGTTTCTATGGAAACCGGAGCTTTTTAAATGCAGATACATTAAATAGTTCGTGATTGGCTCTTACGTGTAGAAGGCTGGACGTCCTCCGATTTATCCCACATTGCAGTTCATCCCATTCACAGAAATGCGTGTAAAGCACAACAGATATCATTATATAAGCAGATCCCATCCTCCGCGGCTGAACAACAGAAGGTGTAACGGTCAACGTGGATCACGTGTGCCTCATAAGCCAATCACAGCACATCTTTGAAAGTTTTACGACCGTCAGTCATCATAATACTCAGGTACCCTATTTTGTGTCTTTTTATTGCTCATAACTGTAACTGATCATGCTTTAGTTACTGTTGTGCACTGTTTGTATTTGTATTACACAAAGTATTATAGAAATATCGTTATACATGATAATTATACAGACAATACTAATAATTGTTTTTAAACATTCAGTCACACACACACACATACGTATTACTAAATAAATACATCTAAATACATCTTTAAAAAAAGAATTTATTAATATTGTACAGATTCCGTTTTATGATATTGAACGTTAATATGCAATACAGTATTAATAACTAAAATAAATATTAATTAAATTTATAATAAATCTTTTTTTATTCATTTTTTGTACTCAAAAAGTGATCAAGTGCTAAAAAGTGATCTCTGCTAAGAGATGAAGTAATAAAGTAATTAGTCATTGTGTCGGTTTGCACATGATTGTGTGTGTGTGTGTGTGTGTGTGTGTGTGTGTGTGTGTAAAGATCAAAAGGAGGGAGAGAGGGTTTATTAACATGACTCCATAAACACAGTAATAAGACCATGAGTGTAAATCAATATCTTAAAATGGTCATTTTAGTGCAGTTTTAGGGCAAATAAATGCATTTATATCCTGACTATGTTCAACCCACAAAAATCAAATTACAAATATTTGGGCAATGCTCGGATTCGTGATCCTTTCTGAAATTTCTGAATTTTCAGAAATTCAGTGTGAGCCATTAATCTATTTCAGAGTTAAAGTGTGAGATTAATGCAATGTTTCTACTCAAAACTTACTTATTGTTTGTAATATCTTGAATTTTGTTTTATGGCCTTTTAGTTTGATGGCTACCGTCCAATCCTCTCCATTTCTTGCATTCACAGCATCAACATAGAATTCGTTTTCTGAATCAGTCTCTTCAGACACAGTATTTATATTTTTCTGAGGTCTAGTAGACATACATTTACTAGCAAAATTATTTCTTTTTCCACATCTTTTGCAGTTTACACCGTATGCTGGACATTTACTTTTGTTGTGATCTCTTCCACAGTACTTACAGTTTCGCATGATGTAACGTGACATGTCTGGATCATTGGCTTGTGCTCCGTGTCTTGTTCGCGTTTGTCTTATACTGTGTGCGCTTCTGTCAGATGCACATTGAATTTGAGAGAGCTGCGCGCGACACTTTTGAATTGCTTTATGAAAAGATCATTCAATATCATTTGCGATTAATAGACTTCACATCTGAAAGAGATTGCATTTTCTGTGCGTATGTTCATTCTATGAATCACACGTAGCCTATGCATATTTGAGAGATGATCGTAAGATCAAATTTAGTATGGTTTCTGCGCAACATTTTATATATGAGGTCCCTTGACTCCAGACGCCGGGGCAGGACCAAGCACAACCTCCCGCTCTCTCTCCTGAAGCCAACACTGAAGTGACTTAAACTGTAATTCATCGACTGGCCGCTAGAGGCTGGCTGCAAAAGCGAGTCAATCCCATAGACTCCCCATGTTAAAATGCCCAACTTTACAGCAGAAAAAAACATGTTTACAGCCTGGTTCAAAACTGATTTTGGTCTATATAGCTAATTTTGCCCTTCATGACAACTGTGAGGGGGGTGAATTTTTTTATAACTCATCCGTTTAAATTATATTAAGCCTTAAAGTTCTGCATAATTAAGGGCGTGGCCACTTGAGTGACAGGTGGATTGCCGCTGCTGTCACCACCGTCGAGCTAGGTGGGCGTGGTTTCAGCAACCAGCTCCCGCCTCTTTGCCCATCTTCGATTATCCGGGAGTGACGCGCAGTGACGCACTGCCAAGATGGCGATGGCCGGCTCCGCC